TAACATCCGAGATAAACAGAAAACGGAATGAAAAGGAACTGAAGAGAACGGAACGGAAGAGAACAGAACAGGGATGGAACGGAAGGGAATGGAGCGGAACCGAACAGACCGATAAACAACAGAAGAGAACGGAAGAGAACAGGAATGGAACGGAAGAGAACAGGAATGGAACAGAATGGAACGGAACGGAAGAGAACAGGAACTGAACAGAACGGAACGGAACGGCACGGAACGGAATGGAACGGAAAGCAAGAGAACAGGAACGGAACGGAAAGGAACGGAACAGAATGGAATGGATTGTCAAACTACTAATTTTTATTTTTTTTTCTGAAATGCTACAGGGAGAGATCGCAATGGAATGGAGCGATGGGAACGGAAGTTAACGGAAGAGAACAAGAACGGAACGGAACGGAACGGAACAGGACAGAACAGAACAGAACAGAACAGAACAGAACAGAACAGAACAGAACGGAACAGATTCTTTTTTTTTCCTCCTTTTTAAACCACCACTACCCCCACCGTTTTAAATTAGGGGGGACCGGTAGCACAGGTCCATGAGAGCTACCGGTAACACAGTGGGGGGAACTGGCAGAGTGGCAAAATTGGAAAATGCATCGAATTGGCCCCGCCATTTATTCCACAGTTGAAATGAATTTTTTGATTTCTTTTAATATTTTTTCGAGAAAGATCACGGCGAAAGCTGCATATCCTCCAATTTCCAGACTTCTTGGAGTATTGTATTAGACGGGAAAAATCGGTGAAGTCGGGGTACTTTTCCCGTTGGCCGACACGTGATAGAGCAGCAAAAAGCAGCAAAAATGGAATATAGGACGAATTGGCGCGGCATTCATTTCACGATCTTAAATATTTTTTAAAATTTTTAAATATTTGTCGTGGAAAGATCACGACCAAATCTACAGGCCCTTCAATTTGCAGAGTTGTCGAGTTATCCTTCTGAGCACAAAAAATCGCGGAAGTTGGGGTATTTTTCCCGTTGGCCAACACGTGCTAGAATGGCAAAAATGGAAAATGCAACGAAACGGCGCGCCATTTATTTCATGATCTAAATTTTGTAACTTTTCTTCATTTTTTTGATATTTTTCCTAGAAAGATCACAACCTAATCTACAGGATCTCAATTTTTCATATTTTTTCTTCAATTCTTCTGAGAGCAAAAAATCGCCAAAGTTGGCGCTTGAAAATCCTTGGACCAGGCCCACCTGCACCTGCCGATCGCCGCCCCCCCTAAGAACCCGGTCCATAAGGCCAGGAAAGTCGAATTTAGGCCGGCGGAGGTAGTGGTGGTTCAAAACAGAACATAGCCCCTGCTATTCTTGGGGGCGTCAATCCGGTTGCTTATCACTGGCAAACAAATTATACAAATATATACAAAATGTTTAGAACTTTATACGTAGCTATATTAGTTTCCTCCCCTCCGCACATCCCTTCGACTTGGGAAGTAGGGCCGACAGTCCTAGACAGAGTTACCACAATCAGGAGACTCACCCTGGTGCCCAGTCATTATAGTGCCCGGCCTCGAGCATTGCCGACACCTACTGTCCCGAAGGACAAGGGTTACGTGACCTACCCCTATCAAACCCTCTTTCCTGCCCCCCGCTCTCTCTTTTTCTATCTGTTACCACGTGTTATCAACTTTCCTCCCGTCTGACCTCCACTTGCTCCCCATCTGTTCCCAAAAGCAATTTACCCCTTTTCCCACCCTTTTGTACTTGTTCATATTGCAATGAAGTATGCACTGGTCACCCTTTCTATCCATACCCCTCTGTTTCCCCCATCGTTCCATCCCTATTCCCCCAGCTCCCCAACCATCACCCCCTTGCCCCTTGGGTCATTCAGCAGCGGGCCGAACTTCAAGTATGCCATCGAGTTCTCCCAGTATACCAATGCCAAGAACTGTTCCTTGGTCCCTCTGAAAAGTGCACCCCTCCATCGTGCCCCTGCCTCTGGTTGTCGCCTGGCCCGATCAAAGTCCGCCTGAAGGGCCAGGTGCCATTGTTTTTTTTGGCTGCAGTGAATGTGAGCCTTCCCAAGATCTCCTCGTTTCTGCAGCACCTGATGCCGCATAGTAGGGCCGCTCTGATGGTCTCTACGGCCCTGGCCTCCCCCTTTTAACGACCTTCCTGTGATAATGGACCCAGCAGCAGTGCGGCCCTGCAGGGGCCCGTAGCATTGCCCCTCTCCAAGTGCACCCCCCCTTGCCTCTGCTTCTATTTTCCATTGGGCCCAGAACACCCGGTGTCTTCGGCAACCCAGAAAGAGGTGCGGCAGGTACTCTATCCCCTCTCTGCATAGTGGCCAATGAGGGTCTGTATGCTTACTTTTGTAGACGGCCATTCCGCCGATGGGATCGCTAGATGCACCAACATCCACAGTCAGCCCGCCTGTTTTTGATCCAGGTGCGACAGTACATTCTGAAAAAAGTATCGCCATCCGGGGTCCCCACAGGGGTCGATCTCAGAGTCCGACACCCATCCCTTCTTTTTCCACTGTAGTACTTCTGCCCGCACATCGTAGGAGGGAGTGGCTGTGCCCAATACAAGTCCTTTGTTGATATCTGATGAACTGGCCTCAGGGTTCGAAGACTGTGCTGCGGCAAGCACCACCATCCCCTGGCATTAAATGGGAGGTCCTGTGCCGGGGTCGATATCTTGAACAGTTGCTGTCGGACGGGCCGCTTCCAGCCCTTATTTTGCAAGATCGCCACTGAATACATATGTGTTACATCCACCTCCCTTAGTGCATATGGCTGCTCCTGGATGGGCATGCCCATGCTGGTATATCCACAGGCCGCGTTGGCGGAGATTCGCAACTGCCTGTGTAGTAATGGAAGTCTCCAAAGTTGACTTGCGTTCAACTAATTTGCGCTTATTTATCCTTACGAAACCCAACTCTAAATTGTCTATACCATGCTGTGTGTCCTATATTTGCTTCCAACTCTGCAGCGAGCCTCCAGAGGCTCGCTGAAGGCCTTCGTCGACTCTCGCAAGAGTTGAGCCGCTACCGTCCATTCCGTCACCTTCACCTGGTTGGCATCCAGCACCTCCGCCACCTGCATGACCGTTCCATTCTCCCCTTCTTTGACTACCCATTATCCCAACCTTGGGAGGTCCTGCTGCAAGCGCTGTACCCAATCCCCCGGTATCGCTTCTCCAAGGGTGTGCAATCGCTGGGTCTTGGCAGTCTGGTAGTAGAATATGGGCTCCATGCCCTCATCCTTCCTCCAGTCCTTCACTTGTTTGTACCATAAATGCTTAACTAAATACACCCCCTTTTCCAACCATTGGCTCCCAAATGCTCTTGGCTCCCCTTGCCAGGCAAAAGGTTCCCTTGCCATGTTAAGAAGGAATTGGTTTCAAAAAGCAGTTGTGTCAATATCTGGTCAGCTGTTGTCGGCCATCGCTGTCAGAACTGAAACTGCCTCCAAACGGCCAGCGCATGCAAACACAATGCCCCTTGTTTGAGGTTCTGCGGCACATGCAGGGACATGAGGACACGGCACACCGTTTCCATGGGTACCTGGATTGCATCCGCAATTGATGCTGCAGCCAACTGCTTCCAGTCCTCTCTGTCATCATCTGCAAGGAGGAGCCATAACACCGTTCTTGCCTGGAGAGCCCACGCCTGCCAGCCGAGATCCAGTATGGCCAACCCTCCCTGCTTCCGAGGCTGCAGGAGTTTCACCCAGGCCACCCTTGGCATTGCATTATCCACTGTCGGGTCAGCCGTCCGTAGGAACTTAGCAATTGCTCCTCTTAACTCCACTAGCTGGCACCTGGCAGGCATGAGGATTGCTACCACACACCACAAGGCCCATTCCAAGGAGTTATTAATCAATAATGGCATCACTTGCTTCCTGCCATTTCATCCCCTGTGGCAGAATCACCACCGATCTCCCCCAATTCACCGTGGCCACAAAAAATATAGGGGAACTACTACAGTGTATGTCGAAGGATGGAGAGCTGCCTGGGTGTCGCCGCGGTTATGGCTCTGGCGTCATCTGCGAACACGGACGACCTTATCTCTGTCCCGAGGACCCTCCAGCCCACTAACTCCTCCTTTGCTCTGATCATATCACGTAGGACCTCAACATACAGAATATACAGAGCTGGCAAAAGGGGACACCCCTGGCTGACCGCCCCGGTTGCCTGGAAGGGGTGGGACATCCGCCCTTGGACGCGGATGGCCACCATGGTCGTACCCACAATCTCTGCTACTCAGGTTACAAACCCCTATGCTGCACCGCCTCAAGTAGGAACGGCCAGCGCACGCAGTCGAAGGCGTTTTCAAAATCAAAGAAGACGAGGGTCACTTCCTGCCCCATGAGCTTTGCTGCCGCCAGAGTCTGCTGCGCGACCCAAAGATTTGTGAGAATTTGGCTCCCAGGAACAATCCCAGTTTGTGACCGATGGATTACTGCGCGCGTGATCCAAGCCAGCATATTCGCCAATGCCTTCGTGACGATCTTGTAATCCAAATTGAGAACAGATATAGGCCGCCAGTTGCATATGGCGTCCCTGCCCCCCTTCTTGTGGATTACCGTGACATGCGCCTGGCCAAACTCCCTGGGAAAAAGCAGGCTCTGCAGTGCCTGGTTGTAACCTTCTGTCAATCACGGGACCAGTATATTGGGCAGCTCTTTGAACATTTCGACTGGCACACCATCAAGCTCCAGTGACTTGTATCTAGGCAACTGTCGTACGGCATCCGGAACCTCCATCTGTGTGATGTGGTCTTCAAACTGCCGGGCCTGCACCCGTGTCCGCAGAGTAGACCATACCGACCGGCACACCATCCAGCCCCAGTGACATGTATCTAGGCAACTGCCGAACCTCCGTCTGTGTGATGTGGTCTTCCAACTGCTGGGCCTGCACCCGTGTCCACAGCGTAGACCATACCATGGCCTGTGAGGCCCTAGCCATGTCATCTGGTGCCCACTGTTCCTCCTCCGTGAACACCCATTTATAGTAGTCCTGGGCATACCTGAGAAGCTCCGGGCCGGCCTCCACCCGCGGCTGCATTGTCAGCTGTCAAACCGCAGTCACCACCCGCCTCCGCTTTGCTGCCCTGAGAAACTGCCTTGTCATCCTTTCTCCCTGCCTTACCAACTGCACCTTGGTTAACCACCCAACCCTCGCCGCGCTCCCTGGTCACCCACTGCCGCCATTCCACAGTAACATGTCCCCACTGCTCCCACCACTCCTCCGACGATTGTGTCTCCTGTGACGTACCCGATTGAGCTCCAATCCACAATGGATTCACACGTTCCCATTCACGCATGCAATTGCAGAGTAGACTCAAAGGAGGAAAATCCACACAAAACCTGAGAGAACATATGCACAGCGGAAGCTCAAAGTACACAGAGAATTGACAAACGAATGTCAATTCTGCAATCCCTCGTCCTCCTCCAATCAATCCAGAGTACTTGTTCCAAGAATCACAACCGTGTTTACAACAACGCCGAACAAACCAAAAACAAGTGTTCAACGAAGTATGCAGGAGTCTTCTTCTTCCTCCTCGCCACCTCATACCCCTGGCTATGGCTGCCGTAGCAGCAGTAACCCCACAGCTGTCACAACGTAGCCATCTGAGCAAGTGACCACAATGATAGCAGCACCAGCTCGCCCGCACGGAAGTGCAGCACTGGAAGTCGTGATGAAGGAGACAACCGATCCAGCACTTCGAAGAAGATCAAGTTCCTCGTGAGGAGGAGCAGCAGATATGGCTGCCAAGTGGAAAATGGCAGCGCCCAAACCCAACAACACAGTCCTGTGGAAGCTCTCATGCAGAGCTGCAAAAAAGCAGCAGTGCGATCTTCAACTTCGTTTCCCAACCCCAGCCATGGCTGGGCTTCAATGAAGAAGATGACCTCGCCCAAAATAGAGCAGCAGCGCTCCAACAACGGACGGGCAGAGTTTCCCCAGCCAACGAAAACGTGAAAAGGCCCCAACCCAATTTCCTACCCGCTACTTCTACTCACGGACTAGACCTAGACGACGCCCAAGACAGCGGCCCAAGGCTCATCCGTATCTACCCAGAAACTAGGGAAAAGGGAACCCAAACCTCAGGCAAAGCAAAAGGAAAAGGCCGAATGGCCTAAGAGTGCCACATAGGGACTACTAACAACAGATCCAGGGGTTAAGCCCAATAGGTCTCAAACCTAACAAACAAAACATACAAGTTACAGGTCACGGGATCAAGTCCCGCAGGGCTCAAAATAAGAAAACAAACTACAAAGCCGAACACTTAGTGTACAGCCCCACTGGGAAACTGCGATTTATTGCACCCCCCCAACCCCTTGTCCAGTTTCCCCATTCTATCCACAAACTCCTTCCCTGTACGTTCCCTGGCAATCTTACGTATTTTCATTTCCCGTCTAAACAACACTGTAAGGGCTGCCGACCCTTCCTTAATCCAATCCAATGATGGCTTGTCCTGTGGTTGCTGCGCTAACCAGACCTTCCAATGCTGCCATGCAAGTGCCAAATACCAACTGTGCGAGAACACCCACGCTGGCAGAGCCTTAGGTCCTCGAGGAAATGCCAAGTCTTCTGGTTGTGCGATACTTATCACTGTTGTAAGGTCGGGCGATGCCCTGGGTACTACTTCGACTTGCACCACTTGAGCAACAGTATATTTTCATTGGCCCACACATGTACAGCCTACTTCTACTTGCAAAATGCGCTCAGGCCTATGTAAATGTGCGCTGATCTGGATGCAGTTTCCTGGAACAGATCTGTCGACCCCAGTTGTGACATAACCAATTGTAACGCTGCCGCATCAGATTGCTCCGGGTCCGAGGATACAGAATCTTTACCCA